TCAGCAGTTTCTCGTTGGAGTCTGTTTTTGAAGTTTTTCTGTTGTAATATAGCCACCCGCAGGTCTGTGTTGGGGTTGGGTGTCTGAAAACGATTTCGGGGGATTAAATGAAAAGTCTAAATTTTCCATAGGAAAAATCCCTATTTTCCAGCCAGCTCTACGTAGGAGCTTGTACAATTTTCAGTGTCAGAGTTCTGTTGCTGCCGCCGCCCTGAGAAGCAGGGTGGCACTTGATGGTAATGGTCTCTCCTAGAGTGTGTCACTCTGAATTTGGTGACTAATATGGCCTCTGACATTAAATAAAATCAGTGTCTTCTTCTTATGCTGTATTTAGTGTTGAGATGTGGGTGGTTTCCAATGGAAGTGCGTCCCTTTTAAAACAGATTATTGTCTGTCTGTCTTGCTGTTCAGGTCAATGCAGTCACTGTTGATGGGATCACTCCTCTCTTTAATGCCTGCTGTAGTGGCAGTGCAGCTTGTGTGAACATGCTGCTTGAATTTGGAGCCACGCCACAACTAGAGAATCACCTTGCTTCACCTATTCATGAAGCAGTAAAGAGAGGTAATTTTAAGGCTTTGAGTACAGCTAACTATAAATAGATCTGGCTTTGTTTTTCCTCCCTAAATAATTGTGGGAAATTCATCTGCATCTGAAGTATCTGGGCCATAGGGATAAATGTGTGTTTGGTTTAATCCATACTATTCTATATAGAGTTCTGTGTATTCTATTCTAATGTTATGTATATAGTATGTGTTTGTCGGGCATCCTGCAGAGAGGAAATGAGGTGAGATGACCTCTCTTCTGTGTTATCCAGGTCACAGGGAGTGTATGGAAATTCTTGTGGCCAATGACGTTGACATTGACCAAGAAGATTCGCAGCACGGAACACCCCTTTATGTGGCCTGCATGTATCAGAGGACAGACTGTGTCAAGAAGCTTCTCGAACTAGGTGCTCTGGGGGCAGAGGAGGGGAAGCTGAACATATTTGAAGCCACCACCTATTGTTTCTCCTTAATCCCTCCCCGCTCCTGATATTAGCATTTAATTCCTCATGACTCCTTGGAGGACCAAGAATTTTGAGATTGGGATAAAAAAGGGGATTCTGTCATTCGAAGATGATGATGAGAGGAGCTACAAAGAACTGTCTTGGTATATTGTTTGCCCTGTGACCCGCATCAACTCCTTTTGATTATTATAAAATAAATAGCCAAGCATGCTAAGCATTCACTCATCCACTGCTCACCACATGCAGAGGGAGCAGATCAGCTAACCAACCACTCAAAAGAATAATTCCTTTAGTGATCATGAAGATCCCACATACAGCAGGGCAGCACCTCAGGTGATCTGGCTTGTTTTAGCCAAAGCAGCTATGCTGATTGACACCAGCTAAGACTCTGCCCCAATTTGGGTGCTACTGTCAGCCCAGGATAAGCATTTTACTCCTGGACCCCAAAGTTATTTTAATTAAATGTTACAAACATGCTTTTCTGGCCATTTGAATTAATCAGATGGAAGCAACTTTAGATTTTAAACACCCACTCATTTGATAGTCAAAAAGTTCAGCATTGGCTCAACTTCTGTTGATTCTCCATCCTCATCTTACTGCTACTCTTGAGACTAATATAGTAGCCATGTGACTTCTGGATATTGAGCACTGCTATAATCAAGAGAAGATAAGTCCTGTGTGCCATCAGGTGCACTTCATTTATTGATGCTAATGATGGAAGCCAAAGTGTGTGATAGAAATCTTAGACTCAGCCAGTGATGTGTTTCCCTGCTTCCTCCTAATGCTAACCCTGGTCTATTCTTATCTCTGTGTGTGTTCTTTTAAGGAGCCAGTGTTGACTTGGGTAAACGATTAGACACTCCACTCCATGCTGCAGTTAGGAAATCCAGCGCAGAAGCAGTCAACTTGTTAACGGACTATGGCGCTAGCTTGACACGCAGAAATGCTGAATTCAAATGTGCCCTTGATCTGGCAGCCCCCAACAGCAAAGTGGAACAGGCCCTCTTGCTTCGGGAAGGTAATGGCTCTTTCTTTTTTTAACGGGACAATTTTTATTTCCTTTTCATAAGTATTTTTTCATGTTCATCTTCCTTTTCCACATACAGCTGCTCCCTCTGTTAGTTCTCTGAGAGTCTCCAGGATGTTTCAGGACAGGGCACAGGAATGAGAGCCAAGAGATCTCAGTTCTGTTCCTAGCTTTGCCACTGACTGCCTATCCGATGGCAGGCAAGTCGCTCTGTTTTTATGTGCCTCCGTTTCCCATCTATTGAATAAGGATAGTCCTAATCTGCCTTTGTAAAGTGTTTGGAAAGCTATGAATAAGAAGTGCCGTATTTTTATTTATTACTATTATTATCAACCATATTTGAGAGAGCAAGCTAACAACTATTTTGCATACAAACCAGAAATCTCAAATGAAATATATACATCAGCTTGGATGTTACTGAGTCTCATTGTGCAGCTCCCTGCATAAACAGGGCCATGAATGTGTATAACTTGTGAGAAAGTGGAACTTAAGCCCAGTTGGTTATTCAGCTTCTCATATTACTGCTGTTTCATGAAGCTTCAGGAAGCATTCTGTTAGCTTCCAAAGTTCAGTGAACTTGTTTCAAGAGACAAGATGATCTCATGCTGTTTTTCCCTTCTTGTGGTCCTGCTATTCCCCTGTATGTAAAGGAAGCTTCCATTGTTTTGATTCCACCATGCTTAATTTACATAGCAGACAGGTAATAGCTGCCTTTTCTCCTGTCCAGGGTGGAAACTGTTTTGCCAGAGATTTCAAAAGATAATATCATTAAGTATCCATATTTCCTCATGTAGTGTTAATACATACATTTCACAGTGATATTAATCACCAGTGTGTATTAGCTTTCAGAAAAGACCTCGCTCTCATAGTACAGTAAAATCATATACATTTGATTCAATTGGTTATCACTTGAGGTTCAGCTCCCCTGCCTTTATAGACCAGTAAACATTTGAAATTGATTCTTCTGAAGGTTCCCTCTCAAAGTAAAGTTTATTCAAGCAGTGAGGAAGGCAACGTGGAGTCTGGTGGTGAAGGAAGCTCTATGCTTTTTCTTCCTCCACTTGTTAGCTTAATAGCTGTGCTTACCTAATATGTAAAAATGGACCTTCTTTGTCTTTGCGGGAAGATCCGGCAGGTCAACAAATCAAATACACATTCCTTTGTCTAAAGCAGGGGTGGCTCCAGGCACCAGCGAACCTTTGTCTAAAGCAGGGACGGCTCCAGGCACTAGCGGGGAGCCTGACAAAAGGAAAAATGAAAAAGATACAGGAATCAGTATAACTGGAATACAAAATGCCTGAAACTTACAGGAGGACAGACGCATTCATGAATAGCTATATCAATAGCTAAAGGAACAAGTCCCTTACTTAAGACTGTTGACTGGGACAAATACAGCCAAACCCCCAACATTTCTGTCCCACGTGGATTTTGTCAAGCAAGATTTTGCTTTAGTTCTTGATTTATCTAAGGGTATTCCACCACCTAGTGGCTGAACAGTATGATACAGTTAGCATTCCATTCCATTCCACACCATTCGCGAAGCATATAAAGGTTCTCCACCTTTCCAGACTACTGTATTCCTTTCAGGAGTCTGATTTGTCTTGAGTACTCCCAAGTTTCACCTCACTTAAAAACTACTTGCTTATAAACTCAGACATAAAAATACAAGTGTCACAGCACACTATTACTGAAAAACTACTTAGTTTCTCATTTTTACCATATCAAATAAATTGATTGGAATATAAATATTGTACTTAAGACTGTTTTTCACTTGTGAGCCTTGACATTCTGGGAGGCAGTGAAGTGACAACAACAATTAAGTTTTTCTTCACATTGAGTCTATTCTTACTCTTTGTCTTGATGGCAGTCTGTGGTGGGGTGAGACTCACCGGCATGGGCCTCCTGCTGGTCATCCAGGGAATTAACTCTTTCCAGCCCGGAGCGTCCTCTGCAGGCCGGGGTCTCGCCTGCCGCTGTCTCCGTGTCCCTCCCAGATCCTGGTGCCCTTTGCCCAGGGGTTCTCCCCACCACAGTACCCCCTCACTCTGGGTCTCCCCTCCTAGGGGAACCCCCAACCCACTATCCCCATCTTGCCTCAGTGGCTACTGCCAGTCATCATCGAGCCCCCGCTCCCTGGAGCAGACGGCAGTCTGTAAACCACTCATCATCGGCAAGGGGGGTTGGACCAGCTACATCTGCCTATTCCTGGGCTGTCCCTCTGGAGCCCTAGTACCATTTTGTGGGCCTTTAACTCTGCCTGCAGCCTGGGGCTTTGCTAGGCTGGAGCTCCCCAGCTCCCTCTGCCCTTCCCCAGCACTGCTCCACCCTAGATACCCTTCTCAGATTCCCAGACTGCCAGGTCCTTCTCTTTCAAGGCTGCTAGAGAGAGTGTGTCAGTCTCTGGCCTCAGCCCTCTTATAGGGTCAACTGTGGTCTGATTGGGGCGTGGCCCCACCTGTGGCTGCTTCCCCCAATCAGCCTAGCTTTTCCCCCACTGCAGCCCTCTCCCACCCCACTACACAATCATAGCAGAAAATGAGACTTCACAAAGATATTTTGACCCAAAAGGTCACAGATCATCCAAAGCTTGGTTCCCAAGGTCAGTGTAATTTCTGTACTAAACACCAGAAGTGAGTTAGTGTGGAGACATTACATTTCATTTGCAGGCCATGCTCTGATGACAGCTCAAGAAGATTTTCTTGCTGACCGGCAGAGAGTTTACTGCTGCTAACATCTGGCAAAATGAATGGGGTTCTTACCCAGTCAAGTTGAGCTGAGTTGTGTTGAGTGTTGGGGAAATATGAGTTGAATTCAGATGTCAAGTGGGCTGTAACGGGATTCACTCACCACTGTGGTGCCTCCTGCTGGTTGTCTGGGGAATTAGCTCTGCATGGTAATGTGCCTTCTTTGGGTGGTGCCTCACCACTATCACTCCTGTTATAGGACCCATGTCTCTCCAAGGACTGCAGCATCCTCTTCAGTGACACAGCCCTCAGGCTGTGCCACACACTGTGCTCCCCCCCCTTCCGGGGGACCTGCAGTCCACTGTTCAGCCACTTCTCTTAGTAACTACTGCAGCAAATTGCCTGGTCAATTCCTCATGGCCCCAGCATCCTCTTTGTCCTTGCCTCACGACCTCTGCCTGCAAACCCCAGCAGCCAGCCAGGATGTGTCGCTCGCTCCCCTGGTCTCTGCTAGCAGCACTGTTCTGTCCAGTGTGCTGGCAGTTCTCTCAGCCCTCCAGAGACACAGTCCTTCCTCCCTGGGCTCCCAGCAGAGAACTTCCTTCCTCTGCCCTGCAGCTCCCTTTTTATATGGGCCTGCTTGGCCCTGATTGGCTGCTCCCTTCAGCCCTTTTCTGATTGGCTGCCTCCTGCGCAGCCTCCTTAGCGCTCTATTAACTCCTTAGATCCCAGTGTTGGGCAGGTGCCCCATCACATGGGATAAATGATCTATTATTTCTTTAAGTTTGCTCTGCTCGATTTCCCCTGTGCAGATATCAGTGACATATACGTGAAGCAGTGGAAAACAGGGGAAGTCTTTGTCTCCACATTTGGACTTCCAAAATTCAATTTTCTTGATAAAAGCATTCACTTTATCATAGAGATTCAGAACATTAGTGTCATGGCCTTACATGGACAAAGTTAGATCTTTCAGCTTGCTAAATATATCTGCGAGGTAGGCAAGTTGAACTAACCACACAGTATTGTCAAACACAGGGATAAGAAGGGATGAATAATCAGAAAGAAATGTGTGAACTTCTGTGTGTAATTCAAACAATCTGTCAAGTACTTCCCTCTTGAAAGCCAGTGAACCTGTGTGAAGCAACAGTTGCTGATGTTCTGACCCCATCTCTTCACAAAGAATGCAAAACAGGTGAGCACTGAGTGGCCTGGACTTGATTAAGTTGCCAGACTCATTTAAAACTTCTTGAAGTTCAGAACTCATCTTTTTTGAAGCAAGTGCCTCTCTGTGTATGATACAGTGCACCCACTGCAAGGAAAGACTATCTTTCCTGATCCTAACTACAGGTCCGTTCATCTCCCGGTCATTGCACTGGCCCCATCAGTGGAGACGAATTTGCATAAATTCCAACTCAAATTGTGTTCAGAAAAAAAAAGTCAATTTGTTTAAAACTGTCCTCTGCAGTTGAGTTTGCCTTTATACTTCTGCAAAATGGCATGTGCTCGTTGATATCAGTGGTTTCAGGGTATCAAACATACACAATCAGTTGAGCTTCTCCACTAATATCCATGGACTCATCAAGCTGAAGGGTGAAAGTTTTTGCCCTTTTAAATTTCTCTACAAGTTGAGAGACAATATCCTCAGCCATTTCTTCAATTCTGCAGTACACGGTGTCATTTGATAAGGGTACTTTCTTGAGCGTATGAGCTGCTTTTTTTTATGAAGTATGTTTTCTGCAGGTGCCACAGTGGCAGGCAGAATCAGATCTCCTGCAATTGTGTACACTTCTTTGATTTTGCTGCAAAAAGGGAGACAGCATATGAAGCTCTGAGTGCTCTTGTAGAAATAGTTGAAGCTTTTTTCATTTTAAGCTGGCAAGTCTGGCACTCAGAGCTTTCTTTGAAAACATTCTGCTGGCTTACCCACATGCACAGCGTGTTTTGTCTTCACATGTTCTTGCAAATGTGCTGGCTTCATACTGTTATTTGATAGAGTTTCTCCTCAAAGGAAACATGAAGCTATTGAAGATGTGAATCCAAAAGCAATATATTCCTTGCAGAACTGACGTTTTTTTTCCAGTTATTTTCAATTTCTTACAATTTTGCCACTACTGCTACTTCCAGCTCCTCATTTTAAAAATCTATCAATTTTTACAACGCAACCACATACACACCATGACAACTTCAACCTCATTAACGTGCTTGCACACATCAGTAAATTACATAAAATGAATGTCTAATACAGTTCATATGCACAAGTTACGTTACTATTTATATAGCATATAGAGCAGTATAAACAAGTCAATGTCTGTATGAAATTTCAGTTTGTACTGACTTCTCTAGTGCTTTTTGTGTAACCTGTTGTAAAACTAGGCAAATATCTAGATAAGTTGATGTACCCCCTGGAAGACCTCTGCGTACTCTCAGGGGTACACATATGCCTGGTTGAGAACCACTGGTATAAAAGGCTTAGGGCATGTCTACACTTACCTCCGGAGCGATCGATCTAGCAGGGGTTGATTTATCGCGTCTAGTGAAGACACGATAAATCGACTGCCGAGCGATCTCCTGTCGACTCTGGTACTCCACCAGAGCGAGAAGCATAGGTGGAGTCGACAGGGGAGTGGCAGCAGTCAACCTACCGCAGTGAAGACATTGTGGTAAGTAGCTCTAAGTACGTCGACTTCAGCTACACTATTTTTGTAACTGAAGTTGCGTAACTTAGACCGACTTAGCTCGCACCCCCCCCAACCCTCCCCTAGTGTAGACCAGGCCTTAGTGTCAATGAGAATTGGGTCCTTTAAGAATCAATAAGATTAGAACACTGTCATGCTTCTGTATCTCTACAGCATTTCATCCTGTAACAAGGTGACTTTTCTATGAATGGGGAACCTAATTTCTATTGATTTCAATGGGTAAAGATCACATCATTTAGAAGCTAATCTGAAAATTCAGAGATCTGCTTAACCCAATAGGTATCACTCCTGACACTATATTAAGTATTTTAGAGGATTTAACAACCTTGGGTTCCTTATACAATTGAAAAGCAGTTTTCTTTAATTCTTGTACACTCTTCATGCTCTGCTCTGCCTTTCTTATCATTTGTATGCAGTGTTGTAAGCCATGTCTTTACCTCATTCACCTCTCCTGTTTATTTTTTACGCCTCTATAGGTCCATCCAGCACATTTTCCCATTGTCCCTATTTCAGAGTAGCAGCCGTGTTAGTCTATATCCGCAAAAAGAAGAACAGGAGTACTTGTGGCACCTTAGAGACTAACAAATTTATTAGAGCATAAGCTCTAATTGTCCCTAGTAGCTCATGTTATAAGCCACTCAAAGGCCTTTTTATTCTCTTAGATTGATGTTTGCATTCCTCTCTGTATCCACATTGGTTTCTCTCTCTCCTCTCACTAGTGTTCATGCAGGGAAGTGTAAAATACACTTCCCTTCACTAGCTAAGCCCACTGCATCACATGGGAGATTCACCTCAAGGGAATGGAAGTGGTGTTTACGAGAGCTTTTTATGCATTTTGCTTAGCTAGCACTGTCTACTTTTGGGACCCTGCTGGCCCCTTCCAATCTCTTCTAACACAGTGAAACTCAGGCTGTGGCTCTTTTGCACTGCTCTGGTCTCTTCCTTGGCAGAGTTTCCAACAATGGGAC